GGGGGGGGGGGGTGAGGGGAGGGGGATGTTTACAGCCGGCTTAAAAATCCGCGGATTACCAGCTTCCGACGTATTTCGCGAGTTTTAACCTGGCAGACAAAGCACGCCGATAATGCTCGCGGTTTATTACGTGGGGGCCGAAAGCGCCACTGAAATAAAGAAAGAGAAAGAGGGAGAGAGTACGTAGAGTGTTTTTCGCGAACGGAAGCTCTTCTCGCGCAAAGGCAAGGCCGAGGGTGGCATTTACAAATAGAGTCGGCCGCGGAAAAACATCCCCCCCGGTGGCTCTGTTCTGTTCAGCCCGACGCGCGTTTAAGCGCGCGCGAAAGGACACTCGGGAAACATCGATCTCGACAACGTAGCGAGAAATTAGCGCGGTACCTCCGTGGTGCGCTTTTTGCATTTGTCGCTGGCGGCGAATATGTTGAGCTGCGTGGAACCGGCCGGCAGCGGGCACTGGTCTATATCTACCCTTCGTAGGTCCACGTCGATACCGCTGGTGCCCCTGGAAACGATAAATCAAACGTTTTGCGATTAATTCCACGGCTTCTACCAGTAAGATCCGGGTCAGACTTGAGCCGTCGGGTTGCCGCGAGGAAGATGAAATCTCTTTCGTCGGCGCGAGAAGGAGCGCCAAAGTCATTTATCGAAATTGAATTAGAAGCTCGGAAACCAACGTCTGTTTTTACGCAGCGTCCGGCTTCCCGGCAACTGATTAAACATTTCCCGGGAGGGGAAGCCGGAGCTAACATTTGCTCCTAACTACCAGGTAGCAGCGTAAAACGTGTGTCAAATTCGCGCGATCACGTCCCTAACTACGCGTTTTTAGTTCAATGCGAATGTCTAGCGATAATTCCCCCTCGCACTATTCGCGTTATATTGATCTCTCTGTTCGCGAGAGACGTGGGTGTGTGGAACGGAGGAGGAGCGAGAAACCGCGAGAAATGAAGACAAAAACATTTATCGCGTAAGAAACGCAGGGATATCGATTTGATTCGATTCTGTACGCGTGCGAAGCGACGCCATGTGGCGCGCTGACAGAATCCGCACGGCAAATTTGGTAATTTTTCTCGGCCTACCGTTCACTCTTTCGGCCATATGATCTTTTCATGCTAAATCAAATCCTCCGGTCTCTCGTGTTCCCTCCCTTCCATTCCCTCCCCGATGTATAATTCAACGTTACGCGTGCTGCACCCGATTATGCGTGCAATGTATCTTCCGCTGACTCTCGACTCGCGTTACCACGATGAACCTAGCCCTGAAATAAAACGCAACTATACGGCTGCGCGTCTTGTAAGAAAGAAATATAACGCGGCTGTGATTATCTCATTGAGTCTCGGAGAACGTCTAACTTTACGGCCAAACCTCACGTGAGCATTCTGCGAATGCGAAGCTCGCGTAAAAATTAACCAGAGGAAGAATAAGACCTCTTCGCATTATCTCCCATCTTTAAAGGTGTATCGCTCATAAGTCAAAATGACGGAAAAATTATTTAAAAAATTGCAAATTGATCTACGTTGCATTGAAAAGTGACACCGAAAGTCGAACAGTAATTCAGAGTCTGGATTAAAAGTTATTCCACTTTAATCCTCTGTTAATCGTAATATCCGAATATACTTTAATGCCTGGTTTCTTAGCCAAGTGCTAATAAAAGAAAAATCGTTTCAAGAAGCAAAGGAAAATAACGGGAAAATGATTATATCTGTGGGATACATTGCTATCATTCATGGATGAAAAATATTGCGATTAACAGAGGGTTGATTAACAGAGGGTTGATTAAGAGAGATTGGCAAGTGAAATGAATTTAATAAGAATTTGGTGAAATTCGGCATATACTTTGGAATATTATCGAAATCATTGTTCGTAAAATTAGAAAAAGTTTCGAGAGCTGAAATATTTGTAACTAAAATTGACACTCTTTACATGTGTTCCTTGAGAGATTAGCGTTAATGAGAAACTACTATGATATTAAAGACTAATATACAGACATTACATACAAATTTCTTATTAGTCACTTTGTTTTGAAAATTCAGCGATGTAAAGTTCATAACTTATAATATTCGAAATATATACACATATTTTTATATCTCTTTCTATTATCTGTGCATCTCTATTAGATCAACTGATGCGTAAATATAGCATTAATGAGAAAAATGAAAAATAATAATATATTTGTATTTGTAATATTGTGTATATATGCCTCTCCGCCTTTCGTTTCAAATTAACATTTATTATTTAGGTAGTGAAATAAATGTGTAAGAACCCAGGGCTCTTGATCCGTTTTCCGAATACTCGTTTAAACGTTTAGCGTGTATCCGCTTAGAAACGCCTAATGGAAACCGGTTTGATGTAACTAAACGTTTAATCGTTTAAACGAATTCTGCTTTTCCATTCTGTTAAATTAGCAACATGTTTCTAAGTCACATATAAGATGGTATTTTTATTTTCCTGAAATTTCCGTAGTAAAAAAGAGAGCAACGAAGATTAACATTTCCCTTCCTTTTTATAAACGGGTAAACGAACAAACGTATTCCAAGTTAATAAACGGATATACATTTTCAAAAGCACGTGTAATCGTGTTTACTTTATTATATATATATCTGTAAACGTATATGCTAAATACACGTTTAAATGATTCCTCGTTTAAACGTGTAATATATTAACCCTGATAGAAACTTAATTTGGCTTGATAAATACTAAATTTATGAGTGGTCCCCTCCCCTTTAATTAACGCGCCACTGAAAATACAACGTTAATGAGCAATATATCTTTGAAATCATGAATCCTGATTCGAGTCAAAGTGTTTACGCTCTCCATTGTTTAAATTTCGCAAAACTGACGTCTCAATATTAAAAATATGCTCCCTGTGATTAAAGACGTGACGTCACAGACGTGAGACTATATAACAAAGCCGGTTAACTCTCTCTTTCGATAATTGAACCGCTATCGATTCTTGATTTGCAAGAATTACGATGCGTTCGCAGTTCGCGCTGATAACAAATTTCCTTTAAACGGATATTGCATTCTTCGAAGGGAACGACATAGCTCAGTTCTTTTCCGACTGTTGGCATTCACCGTGAATTCTGCGTGCGATAGTCCGTGAAATTTTGCATTTTTGGATTACGCGAGGACGGGAGAGTGCGACGTTATTTCCGGTGCGATTGCGAGCGAATTTTCGCAACCCGGGCGAACATATAGCATGGATATTTCATGAACGGCAATTTCACTTAGTCTCGTTAGGTAAGTCTGCTTTAGCAACAGCTAAATACTTTAGCTATAATTAGCAAAAGCGCTTTAATTCGCTTGGGTGGCCGGCGCATAAGTTCCTTCATTTTTAATTTCTTAATTACATAGACGTTGTGGAACTTCAGCGTCATAAATTTAATTTTAGCTTTTGTCCCTCTAGTGCTTAAATAAATTACAGAATATTATATACAGCAACAAGAAATATTTCTGACTTGTACGCAAATATCTGTTATTTTCGGGAATTTCAGTTTTTCAACGGCATGTCTTGTCGAAGATTAATGCGCGAGCGTGGAACAGACAGCGAGTGACCTTGATACTTTTGTACTTCTCATTAAGAAACTAATTTCCTCTCTCAACTTGCGAATATTTTAACAGGTGTATCTCGAAATTAAAATATTGAAACGACTCCTTTCACGAGAATATTGTATAGAAATCCGAAACATACACGGCAATGAAGGGCAGTTTCTCGTCTCCGAAAACCGGGAAACTAATTTCGCACAATGAAATTTCTTCGACTTTTTACACGTCTCTCTGGTGTTTTCTCATTTACAATAAATATATATACCGTAACGTCCGTATGCAGTTTCATATCTCGTTTGAAATAGATCACAAATATCCTACTGCATTACAAATTTTCTGAAAAACACACCGAGACCGACACGCAAATACGAACATGGCAATAACGCACGCGCTCGCAATCACGACCGCCATATGCAGCCGCTGCCGACGCAAGAATTTCCGCGCGAATTGTGGCAGAGCCGAGTCGTAAAGGATAGTATTTTCCGTTTTCCCTGCTGGAGACCAGTAACAATTAATATCACTATGTTGTTTCGCAGAGAGAAGGAGAAAGAGAGAGAGAGGGACTGCCTGTTGACACAAAGACTTCAAATAACTGCTTGCAGAATGGAACTAAAAGCTCTTCAAACGGTTAAATCAATTTGCATAACTGAGTTCCGTTCGTGCTTTAAATTAACCCTTCGTTTCGTGTGACAGCAAATTTGCAATGCGTCCGAATTTGTCGTTAAAATAAATTAAATTCCGATTAAATATCGCTTCTCGCACAATTTTGTCCGACGCGATACGCGTCTATCCTCGCGCATTTGCTATAATGTGTAATGTTTATTTTCCGCCGGAATATGATCGAATCGATTTCTCTCGAACTCTTCTCGCTCTTTCTTTTTCACGGCAAAATTGCTTTATACACATAGTATATACACGTCCTGTTTTCTTTATGCGTTCAGTTTATATATTTATGTTTGAAGATGGTTAATTGGATCGCGTTTTCAATGCAAGAATCGCAGTGCTGTATTATTGCTGCTCGGATTCTTTTCCCAGAATTTGAGCCAATTATTCTACTGTGCAACGGGGACCGATATAAATATTTGAAAGTACATCCTGCGAAAAAAGAACGGACAAGTTCCGTTTAAAATGAAATAAAATTGGATTGAATAAAATGTAACGTACGCACGCATACGTGCAAGCACATGTATACCTAAATATAAAATAGAGTTACGAGATAACGTGTTGACATTTATATCCGTAGCTATTTATTAATATTCACCGTAGAATCCACTTTAGCGCGTTACAATCTCATTTACAGCCGATTTACGATTTTAACGCTAATTTTTAAACCTGAAGTGAGCTTCGTCTCGGCTAGAAAAATTTGATTAAATGTTTTAATTCTGCTCGAGTTTATAATCTGTCGTTAAATATCAAACAACTTTAATAAATTAAGAATTTCGATTAATTTGTCGTTGATGATAAACGAGTTTAAGCTGATAATCCTATAATTCAGAGCAAGTACGAACATTTCTGGACACTCCGTGGATATTGGCATATTTAAGCTGGCAGGATTCAGCTATGCTATAATAAGATTCTATAAGGGGCATAATATCTGCATACTTTATCGTCAGGAAGGTGAGAAATGCTGAAAATATCCCGGACTTATGTTCCTCAAATTGGTCATATCGATTATCGATTGCAGCCACGAAAGGCCTCGTTTCAACGGCAGTTCCGAATTATCATCGCTTTTATGACAGCGTAACTTCACTTTCCATTACGCTGAGTAGAGTAAGAACTTTTTTATTGTTCAGTTAAGTCCGCGTATGAATTCTTATAATTTGTAATAAACTTATACAACGTTAACACACGTGCATCAACTTCATGATTACACAAATATATTGTCGTATTCATTCTTTTTGTATATTTGTACTACCTACTACCTACTACGTACTACCTACCCTACTTATAATATTTATTACTTTTACAATTAGAGAGATTCTTCCTTCTTTCCGATCGTACTTGAGACAAGAGAATTTGCGAAAAGATCGATTCTCAAATTCGCCGAAGGGAGCGAACTTTATCCCCGGCTTGCAATATGCGACGTGCAAAACAATACTTCTCCGCTAATTGATCCGAACTGATTTCATTTGCACGCCGTGTTTGGTATTATGTTACCTATTTAGCATCATGTGAGAAGCGGAATGCACGATGTTTCATTATCCCGAGAGTTGTTCGGTAAGAATGTCAGAACGTGACATGTATAATTATTGGCGCGTAATTCCGGCGCAAGTTAGGTCGGGATAATAAGGTAACCGGTTAAACGTATAAATTAGGTGCGCATGTGCCTCGGAGGTTTTAGCAAACTCTCCCGATGCCGTGGTAACGCGGTGACCCGTGCCGAAAGCCCAGCCTGGTTACCGTATTACAAATTAGATCCGCTAACTCTTCTCTAGCAGATAATTCGTTTAAGCGTCCGCTTGCGCGCGAAATAGAGCGCGGGAAGCCCGATGGCCCCCGAGTGGATTCTTTTTTTTCAGTGGACATACGCACACACAACTGACATAATTATCTATAATTATAACGATATCACACCCGCGCGCTCGCGGTGTCGAAGATCCGAGAAACTCGGGGGGAGAGAACTCGGAAGCCGAGGGCCGTCCGCTTTCTCTCTCAATAAGCACGGAATACAAGGTTGTTGCCGATCGACTGAGCCTCGCTTCCAGCTGCTGATCCTTCGACAAACTTGGGCAACCTTTCCTTAAAGGAAATTCAATAGATTACTCGTTCGCTCGGGTTCGCGCGCGAGGGTGTAACTACGCAAACTAATCTCTTTTCCCGGGTAATTTCGAGCAAACTTTATCTCAGTCGAAATCCAGCTACGTATTTGTAGATTGTAGTCGGACTATTCGTACGTTCGAG